ATAAACTACTACTTACTACTTGTACTACTATTCCTACTTGGTGGTTTTTCACTTATTGCGGGGCTTCAGGGTACGGATCCCCTGCGATAAACGAGGGACTACTGTAGTTACAGTTTTTACTTTTAGCTACTGCTCAGCTTCTGTTAGCTTTTAGCTACCATTCTACTACATTTAACTTCTTGTTACCTTTTTATTTTTAGCTTTTAACTATCATTTTGCTGCTTTTAGCTAGTGTTTTGCAACATTTAATTAATAGTTGTCTGTTTGGGGCAGCACGGTGGCGCAGTTGGTAGAGCTGTTGCCTCTCGGCGAGAAGGTGACCGAGTCAAATCCCGGCCCGGGTCCTTTCTGGGTGGAGTTTGCATGTTCTCTCCGTGCATGCGTGGCTTTTCTCAGGTACTCCGGTTTCCTCCCACAGACCAAAAACATGCATGTTAGGCTGATTGGTAACTCTAAATTGTCCCTAGGTGTGAGAGAGAGCGAGAGTGAATGGTTGTTTGTCTCGTTTGTCTCTATGTGTCCCTGTGATGGATTGGAGACCTGTCCAGGTTGTCCCCCACCTTTCACACAGTGACTTCTGGACATGGACACCAGTGACCCCCCGCGATCCAAAAAAGAAGAAGCGAGTAAAAGATGATGGATGGATGAGAGAGGATTGTTATTGCAGTGCAAGACTTACTGTATGTCACATGACTCTGTTAGCCAATATCTTTGTTGCTATTTGAGAGTCTGGGTTGATAAACGCCAAGCTTAGTTCTTTAGAAGAACCTAAACTTTAGGCTAAAGAGATCCTATCCCAAACCTTTGATGCCAGAAGACTCTTCTAAAATATCAATTCATTTCTCTTTCTTCTGTTTCTTTTAGACCCATTTCTTTAATGATGTATTTTAAAAATGGCTTTTGTTTGTTCATTCATTAAATGAGTTTTAGCTGTTTCAGCCTGATTAAGTTTCCAATGCGTTAAATTGTGCAATGACTGAAAAAAAGACTTGAGCGAGTAAAGGAAAGTTATAACACAATGAGACAATGTGAACCATCTGAACTTGATTTGAGGCTAAAGTGCTAAAACTCTAATCATATAAAGATTAAATACCTCAGTCTGAACAGCAGTATATTAAATGTCTTGCTTTTTTTCATTTTAGCCTGAAATTTAAGCTCATAGGACCACAAATGGCTTTCCAGAATGATTAAAATAAAAAGGTATGACTTTTCTGTCCTTTCCATCCCCGTCTCAGTTTCCTCCTCTTACTCATTGGGAGGAAAAAAAAGCACTCTTGAAATGAAAATGTCAGTTGATGAAATCCAATGAGAGACATTTAAGCACACAGAAATGAGTTCTGCTCCGGCACAGTGTCACCTGGCCGACACGGGGGCCGTGACGATAATGAGTTTAAACATGGACCTCAGCAATGCTGATGAGAATATAAAAGAAAATCACTCCCCGCCTCTCACTGCTACATAAAGGCCGTGTCTATTTTTCTACCTCTGCAGGACACCGAGATCATCAACACGGCCATTCTGACCGGGCGCACTGTGGCCATTCCCGTCAAAATGGTCTCCATAGAGATGAACGGGGCCGTCACGGACGTCTCAGCCTTCGTGCAGTGCAAGTCTTCTAATGAAGACATCGTAAAGGTACAGTCATCCGTTTCTGGGACAAGATGTAACTCAGGGTAAATGTAATCTCTTTAACCCTCCACAGCACATCACCAGGGAGGCATAAAAAATACATTTTGAGCTGCTTCATATGTGTTCCTGATTTGATTCTTGCCTCAGTCAACACCTGTGAAGGTAGATACTGTAAGCTTCGACACACAAATCAGTAAGGTTACAAACGAACTATAAAAGCTCCTTAAGATGCTTTTATAACTGCAACACCCATTGGTCCATTGGGGACACCCATTGGTCCATTGGGGACACCCCTTGGTCCATTGGGGACACCCCTTGGTCCATTGGGGACACCCCTTGTCCGACGTGCTCTGCTGAATGTCTCTTCTGGTTCACTTGAGTTCGATGGTGGCAGGGAAATGCCACACCAGGATGCAGAGCAATCATCGCTCGTGCTTGAGGGGAATCCAGCGCCAGAGAGCAACGTCAAGTCTAGTTTGTTGATTAAATAAATTAAACTGAGATCTCAACAAGCTGCAGAGCGCATTAAGACACCGTGTTGGTCGTTTTTATTGCACTCCGAACAATCACAGTCATAACTGATTCCATTATAGGCTAATGGTGTCACTCTATAAAGTAGGGGTCTCTAAATAGAGGACTGTAATCCAGATCCAGAACCAGATCTGGACACATATTTTGTTCAAGAGAATTGTATATTTTTAAATGTATGCTTTTACTTGCACACATTTTCCCTGTTTGTACATTCACCCATTTTAGGCAGTACAGATTTTCTTGCAATTCATGTTAACTAATTTTGTAAGGTGCAACTTTTCCTACATTTACGGTAATTCATTTTATCTGTTGATGCTCTTCTATAGTTTGCTCTAGCATTTACGTTAATTAGTGTACCGTATTTTTCGGACTATAAGGCGCAATACCAATGAACGGGTATGTTTTGATACATAAGGTGCACCAGATTATAAGGCTCACTGTTGATGTTTGAGAAAATTAAAGGATTTTAAGTGTCTTATAGTCTGAAAAATACGGTATCTGGCTGGCTGTTTCTGATGCAGGCCTACAAAAAGGTACAGGCTGAAAAAACTATAAAGTGAGTGAAGAAATCTAGCATAGCTCAAAAGAACTTAAAGCATATATATAAATATACATATTGGACTTTTGACAGAAATATTCCTTTAAGCCGACCTCACTGAATTTTATTTGAAGGCTGTTGGTATGGAGCGTAGTGATGTGTCATAGTGTTGAAATTAATGAAAGTGATGGTGGAGAAAAAGATGAAGTCAGTGATGAATAATGTATGTTAATATATTCAAATATGCAACAGTGCAAACAGTGCAGTCTGCATCTGGTTCCACTTTTGGCTCATAAGATTTCTCCCTTTAGCTTAAAGAAAAACTCTAAAACTGAAGCACTTTTTTAAATCATCCCTCCAAAACCTGGAGGTTTGCTGAAAAACTGTTAACCAGAACCTTCATTCCTCAGCCTCACTTGGAGACAGAAACGTTAATCAAAACCCATTTTACTAATTTAAACATTTCTTCTTGGGTTTTAAGTAAAATGTCTCTTGTGCTGTACATTGGCACTGTTTATAAAATTATGGCATCATATTAAAAGCACAAATGTTTCTAAAAGTTGGGTACATACGAATGATTCTTCCAGTCTTCATTTTGTAAAATCGTTTGATTTATCAGAAAGTTTCTGCCGATAGTGTTGCAAAAACAGTTGCTGCAGGGACGACACTAGCTAGATTAAATTTTTGTCCCTTGTTGCAGACCGGAGAGGAGGAATCGAGAATACCATCCATCCATCCTTGTTGAGCGCATGATAAGTGAAAAATAAGAGAGGTACCGACATTTTGGTGTGTGTGTTGCCACTTCAAAAGCCAAGATGGCTGCCACCAGCTATGTATATAAAGTGGAGTTGCATTTGGGCCCAAAAAATCTGACCCAGCCCGTAACAATCCCTTCCGAACCCCACCCAACCTGACAACTCATCAGTAATTACAGGTCCAAATCTGAAAAAAAAACAGACATTTTTCATTAAGCTTTGACTACTTATATAGTTATTAATGATCGGCGGACGTTTGCAGCTGAGTAAAGGAGGCAGAAGGTTTGAGCTGAGGGGGTGTTTGTCCTTTCATGGCCGTCAAAGGGCATTAAATCCCTGCTTCTGCATGCATTCTGCATTATTCAGACATGGACCCTGCTCTGACATGTCTGATATTTTGTGATCTCACCTGTTTGGGTCGTCGGCCGTGCGCGTCCGCTGAGTTCAGTGGCTGAATGAACGTCCATTTGGGCTGATGGATCGCTGGCAGTAGTCCATCTGAAGCTTAACTGAACTTTTTACCTCTTTCAAGGCCGGTCAGCACGCGGTCAAATGGTCGCATGCGGCTGGTGATTGTATGGCAATCCATGCTGCCATATAATTGGATCGTCAGCCGCACGCGTCCGCTGGCGCAATGAAAGCCCAACACCAACACATTAAGCACATTATTACGGCCTGGCCCGGCTCTAATCCGGGTCGGCTGGGGCTGGGCTCCAGGTTTGGGTAAGAAATGACAGCTCTAATGTCAACTAACAATCCATATCATTTGAGAAAACTATACTTGGTAGTTTTTATATTATCTAAAAGTATAGTTTCCTCAAATGATTGGAATGACCTAAGAATATTTTATAATGGCCAAGGTACCAGTGGCCACCCCCCGGCTCCACCATTGCACCTAACGAGGATAAAATTGCTCCTTCACTCCAGGATCTCTCGCTCTGTGCTGCCTTGGATAAGCAAAAAATAAATAAAAAATACCCCTCTTCTAAACAGTGTAACTCCTACCTACTTGAACATCTTGCATCAAAAATTTTAAGGTTTACTTTATTCTCTGTTCAGTTTCATTAAAAAAAAAAAAAACTCATCTTGAACACCACAAACATTCACTCTTCAAATCCCTCAGCAACGAGGAACGTCGGCGTACGACTTGTTAAAAACTAAAACGATGCCGCTTTGTATTACAATCTGTAAATTCTTAGATTAAGTAACTGGAATAACTCTCAGCCACTTCCACGCCAAATTTCAGCTTCAAAACCTGTCTGGCTGAATTATAGCTATTTTTGTGCTTTTTTTTTTTTTTTATGTCACTTTGCAGTAGCGGCCATCTTCATCCAAGTTGACTCCAAAAGTTAATGAGCTGTAGATGTACATCATTACTGAGAGGTTTGTCTGTTTCATGAGATGTTCTGTGCTAAAACAGCACAGTTTGCGGAAGTAACTAAAATGCAAAACCCATTAAGCACTAAAAGAAAACCAGGAAAATAATAATGTGAAAGCTGTTGTGTTGGATATAAGTGGTGTATAAACATGATGTTGATTGTCAATTGTTGTATTTCTTTAAAACACCTCCGCTTCAAACGTTCGTGTGTAGTCTCACCCCGCTCACCCCAGACTTTTGTCTCTAAGCCGACCACCACCGAAGCCTCTTCCTGCAGAGGATCCTGCAGACCAGTAATCTGTACAAGCTGCTGTGATTTACACCGCTTAGATCATCCCTCCCGGTTCTTTTCTGGTCGTGAATTCTCACATGAGAAGCACTAGGAGGAGCCAGAGGAACCTAATTTACTTTTCCTTTCCCTGACAAAGAGTCAGAGTGTCTGACAGCAGCAAATGGACGAGGAAAAAAATTGTTTTAATGCAGGAGAACTGGAGAAACTACTGGAGGACCTGACAACCAATTGCAACGTTTCTGTTAATTCAGTTTGTACTTTTTAGTCAACTTCAACGTTTTATTTAAAGGCTGTAGGACTGTTTGAACACAGCAGCAGCTGAATTTGAGTTTTCAGACACATTACCACCTTCACCCTGAGTCAGCGGTTTACGTTTTAACACTCGTTCATCCTGGTTCAAGATTATCGCAGCTTATCTGGCGTGATTATATCAAGTCAGATTAATTAAACCCTCAGCCAAAGTCCAAGGCAGAAATGTTTTTGCCACAAGCGCTCCCACGTGGACGTGAGCCAGGGCTTCCTGCCTTGCTAGCTTTGCTAGAGGCTCTGAGCTTCTTCTTGCTCTTCTCCGGCGCCATGTTAGCGATAGAGAGAATAGTTTGTCATTCAGCAAGCTCAACAGGCAAAAAGTTAGCTGTGCTGTTCCTACGCGCTCCCTCGTTAGCAAGGCTAAACAAGGAAGAGCGAACTTGGCAGGTTAGCAAGCTAAACAGGCCAGAAGCCAGCAAGGCAGAAAAGTGACTCTTACCAGAGCTCAACGGGGTTAGCAGATGCTACGAGTTAGCAGCTAAACGAGCAGGATCGAACCTTGTAGCGACGCCAGGGGCAGGGAGCAAGCTCACCTCCAGTCGGACAGTTAAGCCACACACCTGTAGTCAGGTTAAAGCGAGGTGAAGTGCAAAAAGATTAGGGAAATGAGACCACGCTATATCCCAGGTGGGCGGGGCCTCCTGTGCACGCAGCAGTCTCATTGGCCTTGACAGGCGTCTGGAAAGAAACTTCTTCAGGTTTGTCTCACGAGGGCGCAATCCCCCATACTCATGTTGTACCGAGTGTGCTGACCGAAAGGGAATTTTATTGGCAACAGTCAAAAGCAAAAATGTTTTTGCCTTTGTGTGTAGGTTTGTTAGCAAAATACCTTTTAAAATAATAATAATAATAATAGTACTTTATTTATAAAGCCCTTTAAAACAACCACAGTTGCCACAAAGTGCTGTACATATAAACATTTAAACACTAGTTGTTAAAACATTAAGATTAATAAAAAAATAATAATAAAAACGGTGCAGAGCAAAATTCAGTGTGTGCTAAAAGACAGGGAGTAAAAATATGTTTTTAAAAGAGTTTTAAAACTGGACAGTGAAGGGGTTCGTCTGATGGGAAGAGGGAGATCGTTCCACAGTCTTGGAGCAGCAACAGAAAAAGCTCTGTCCCCTCTGAGCCTCCGCTTAGACCTCGGCACCTTCAGGAGCAGCTGATCAGCTGATCTCAGGCACCGAGCAGGAGAGTATG